TGGATAGATTCTGGAGTATCTAGAGACACCACTGTATATAGTATGTGCATAGATCCCGGAGTATCTAGAGACACTGCTGTATACAGTATGTGGAATAGATCCTGGATCTTGGAATATCTAGAGACACCGCTATGTAGTAAGTCCACAGAGTGGGTGGTGGTGGCTCATACCTTTCATCCCAGCACTTGGGTGCCAGAAGCAAAGACCTGTATTTTGAGACCTGTATTTTGTTTACGCCATCTTAAGTTCACACGTTAAATAGGATATTCACCTTTGTAGGGCAAGTTTGGGGCCTAGGAAATTAACCTAGTGAGACCTGCAGGCCCCAGGCTTGAGAAGCAATTAGCATTTCCTTTGTTAGTTAACAGTCAGAGACCTCAGGACTTCCCTATCAGCTAGGGATGTCTCCAAACCTGAATTCCAGCATCCTACCCCCCCCCCCCCAAGCCTGTTTTCTATATAACAGCTCCTGAGAAATAAAGGCGACAGCTTGATCAGAAAGCCTGACCTGCTGTCATTTCTCGTGTCTCCTGTCCCTTCATTCCTACTCTCCGGGGCGAATTCAGTTCTCTTGATGTCCCGCTGGTCGGGACACTTGGGGGCAGGGAGGAGGCAGAAGCTGGAAAATCTGAGTTCAAGGCCAGCCTGGTTTGCAGAGTGACTTCCAGGGCAGCCAGGGCTACACAGAGAAGCCCCATCTTTAAAAAAAACCAAAATCCAGAAACCACACAAACAAACAAACAAACAAATAAAAGAGAAGAAAAGTCCATACAGAAGAGGACATATACTTGGATCTGTTTTCAACTAATCATTTCAGAGGTTGAACCTGGCTGACCCATGTGATTTTGATTGAGAAGGTGCAGAGGGTGAGGACTGAGAGAGCTTTTCATCCAAATCTGAGTTCCCAGTTCACGGACTGGCATCACCAAAGGCAGATAACTTCTCCGCCCAGGACTGAGCGGGGGTTCACTCTATACAACTGTGTATAAATGACCAGTTCTTGTCAATGGAAAAAGAACATACGTGAATGGTGATGTTTACCTGAAATTTTGTAAGAACGAGCAAGGCATTTCTTTGCTCCTCTTTGTCCATTACCAGGCCAAGGGAAGGACATTCTGTGACCATTCAGGCTGCTAGTTACATGATGGGAGATGCTCAGGTCCCTGGATCACGGTGCGGAGGGGAGCCAGCCCTCCCCCAGCAACACCTACATTGGGACTGTGATATGTCTGAGAACTAAAACTCAAGAGGGAAGCACTCAAGTTTTGAGTTTTATTTACTGTAATAACTATAATTACTCTAACTTAAGTAGGCATTTATCTTTCAGAATAAGTAGCTTTTAAAATTACTCAAGAGAAGCAGATAAAGTCAGTTAAGTTCAGTAATCAAGGCAGAATGATTCTTAGAAGGTATGTTGTTTTCAAACTTATTTTCTCAAGATCACTCCTGCAGAAGCAGTTTACTTTTGTAACTAAATATTTGTGCAAGTTGTCTTTAAAATCATTCCCTCTTCTCCCTCTTCTTCCCTCCTCTCTTCTTTCTCCCCTCTCTCCTCTCCTCCTTCCCTCCCCTCCCTCTTCCTTTTCTTAAAACAAACCATCCCTTTCCCTATGACGATTACTGATAGTTAATGGTTTGGGCTTGCTCTTTCATTTCTAACCTTCCTTGCTTCATCAGGCTCTGGGTAAGTTCTGTTTTGTCTGGATAGAGTCCAAGATAGCAAACGTCAAGCCTCAGGAACAGTCCCGGGATTTCCCAAGCCTTTTACTTTCTATAAAAGTGACTGAAATGAAGAAATCCTGTTATCCCCCCCTGCCTGGAGAAAGTTTTCACCTTTTCAGAATCAGAGAGCTTCATCCAGATCTTCATTCTGGCCCTGGGCGCTGAGGGTGAGGCACACAGCATATTCCCCATCCCCATCCCACCCCTACTCGCGTTGCTGGCCAGGCCTGGGACTAGGAGATGCTCAATTACTATTAAAGGCATGTTGCATGCACAGAGGTGAAGGAAGAGTCAAGCAGCAGCATTGCTGTCTGTAGCAGGAAATGCTATCATCAGTTCTGCTGTAGGGGTTTGCAAAATGATGGAGACAGCACCAGTTCGACACTGAGGAATGAGGAACTCACTGGATCAGGCACCTTCCCCTTGGTTTCTCAATTGTCTTACCAAATTGTGACCTCCTCAATCATTGACTTTCTTTGAGTAAATCCTTTCACACCGACTCCATGTGTATACCAGCCTGGTTTTCTCTCTAGTGCCCTGAACTTCTGCCTCAGGATCCTGTACCCCTTCAACTCCTAGACTCAGGCTGTACAGTCCGTTTGGACAGTAAGCGTACTGACACATCACAGTGGTTTTAGCTTATATGATTTTCTGCAAAGCGCTTGTCGTTATTGAAAAGTATCTTGTTCCTTTGTTTACTAGTGAGCCACTAGATTCCTTCACGACAGCGTCCACTCTGGGACATCAGAAATTGTCTTATTTATTGTGGCATTGTTAGGGACTAAAATTCCGCTTCATAATGAAGTCCTGATAATAGCTCCTGAGTTAATAAATGACTGCTAGAATGGATGAATGAATTTATGGATTCTAATGACGAAAAGTAGACTTTCTCCCAAAATAAAAGACTATGAGGAAAGCATTTCAGATGTAAGAGGGAAGCAAGATCAGAGTTTAAGACTACTCTAGAGCATTGTGTTGAGGTCCTCTCTGCGAAATGGGTAAGTTTCCTTTTTATCAGTCACAGAGGGGTGGGTTCCACGCCTTCCTTGTGCAAGCTGGGTCTTTTCCATCTGGCGTATGTGTTGCTTACCTCACATCGGGCTCTGCGGTGGCAGCATGCAGTGGCAGGCGGCCATTTTTATCTGGGATGTTGTGCTTGGCACCATTTCTGAGCAGACTCACACAGCCTTCAAGCCAGCCCTGAAAGGCAGCAGCGACAGCAACATTATATAAGGCAACCTCACATAACACGGGTCAAGCTTTCTGTAGGTGTGTAGGTGTGTGTGTGTGTGTGTGTGTGTTGTTGTTGTTGTTGTTTTGGCCACTTCTTTAATTTGGCTAAAAGCTTGTTTAAGTGGAAACCTTTAAAGACCACAGTTCTAACTCAGGCACCAGAGCAGAGAGCTGAAGTCTGAGAGTCCCCAGGTTTTCTGTCTGATTGCTGCCTTTCACATGCAGGTTGATGCAGGTGCTCTTGCCTTTCCCTTTCATTTCCAGGACCCCTCGCTGGGATTCAGCTGCAACAATTAGGCTACCCCAAAGATAGCATGTGACAGGGAGTAGTCACCTGCTCTGGCATGTGGCTTAGTTCTGCATGATACACAGCACCTGTCCAACTTGGATGACAACGTCCACATCTAAAAGCTGGATTCCTATACCACTTCTGAGTCCCAGCCTGCATGCTCAGCCTGTCTCCCATGTCTAAAGTGTAGGTCTTGGCTCTTTATCATCTCATGCCCTGTTTCTAATAACCCTGAAACATGAGAGGGCCGGGCCTGCTTGTTTGTGTTTCTGTCCTGCCCGGCCCCCCAGCTGTTTAGTCCCAGAGAAAAATCAATCACACAGGAGATCTCTATAAGTTATAATGCTGATTGGCCCATTAGGTCAGGCTACTTATTAGCTAACTCTCACATCTTGATTAACCCATTTTTCTGATCTATGTTAGCCATGTGGCTCAGTACCTTTTTCAGTGGGGCAGCTCACATCCTGCTGCTTCAGTGATCTGGGAAGGAATGGGAGGAATCAGCTTCCTCCTCCCCAGAATTCTCCTGCTCTCCTTGCATCATTTCCACTTCCTGTTTGGTTTTCCGACCTATACCTCCTGCCTGGCCAATCAGCGTTTATTTAAAACATGACTGACAGAATACAGACAATTCTCCTGCACCATAACCCGAAGGACAGCATCTTGCTTATTTGAGTCAGTCTCATCCCAGTGCTTAAACACACAACTCACACACCCTGCCGATAGCTGCAGTTCTAATGCTGGCATCCTGACTCTCTAAGGTGAACACACACGAGCATTCCCCAAGGGATACACATCGCAAGGTTTTATGCACCTACAAGTCTCTTAGGAGGCTGTGTGAATTCCCTGCACCCTATTTGTACCAGCTGAAACTTGATATTATCACCTTGCTGGTCAGTACACCCAGCAGGATCTTTATTTTTGTAGTATTATAAATAGGTATACAGTATTCTGTCTGCAGGTTTGCCTGCATGCCAATAGAGGACGTCAGATCTGATTATAGATGGTTGTGAACCACCATGTGGTTGCTGGGTATTGAACTCTGGATCTGTGGAAGTCAGTGCTCTTAATCTCCGAGCCATCTCTCTAGCCTCTTTTTTTTTTCTACTATCTTATTTGAAGGACATTAGTAACCTGAGACTAGCCCTGTCCAGATTTACACTGCTTTCTTAATTGATACTTCTCTAGCTGACCCAGCCTAGCTGATACTCAAGCTTGGTTGTCTTTGCTAAGCAGAAAGTCTCCTACATTTATCTTCAACCTTTGGGCTACACAACTACTTATAAACAGACAAATAAGTAGATGAAACTCTTATTGAGAAGAATAATGTGATAACCTTTTATTCAAAAGCAGTTTCTAGCCTTCCTCCACGTGTATATCAAGCCTTGAGATGTCCCAGTGAGCTGAGACAAATGAAGATTCTCTCCCTTAGTATGACAGTATTGGAAGCACCAAAACCTAAAGAGTTAATAAGCTTCCTGAAGAAAGAATCATATGAACAAAATCTTGTGGTTTTGAAGCATCTAGACAATATCTGCCAACAAGGAGCACATCCAAACTCCCAGCTGAGCCAGGCATGGAGATGCAGACCTAGAATCCTAGAGGTTATCAGCAAGAGGATCAGGAGTTAAGGGTCATCCTCTGCTACATAGTGACTCTGAAGACATCCTGGACTACATGAGATCCTGCCACAAAAATCAAAACTAAAAACATCCATGGGCTGTAATACCAAATAAGGTTCTGTAGAACTGGCCAGCAATGTCTGTCTCAATAGAAACAAATATTTGTGGGGAGGCATTGTTAGTATTGACTCATAGTTTACTAATATATTAAATCTATTTCTATTTGCTAATGTCCAAGTCATCAAGTTCTCTGCTTAAAAGAAAAAAAAAATTGATCCTAGGACCCAAAAGCTAGGCATGCTGTGCAAACTTCATAATTGCCCAAGATTTTACATATGGTTTTTCAAAAAGCAGATCTTTTGGTGGGGTAAGCTTCGAAACATCTAAAATATTTTGCAATTCTTCCTGGAACTCAATGTGTGTGTGAGGTTTCCTTCATTCTTTTTTTCTTTTCGTTCTTCTTCAGAAAAGAAATTTAGAAATCAGTGAAGACATTTGAAAGCCTTGATACCATTTGGAGGCAACAGATGAACACCATACCTACTGTGTTAGCCGACCTCACCATTGCCTTCAGCTGTGAGAAGCTGAAGTTACTGTTTTTTACTATACCTCAAAAATCAAGACAGAGGAACAAAAAGGTGAAGAGATTTGCCCAAGGCCACATATCAACAAATGTCTTTGTACCCTGAGTTAAGAATCAGTTTCTAAGCGCCTTTTTTGCCAAGGTTCTCTTAATGATCAAATCTAGACATCGCTGGATTTCACAGCGACGCTCCTCTTCCCAGAGCCTCAGCATCCAGGGATGGGTCCAGACTAGACCTCACCCAGAAGCCAGCACAGTTCAGAAGGCCGTCCTATCTTGGGTCACTTCTCTCACACAGCCCTTAGGGATGGGAAGAGTTGCCTGCAAAGGTGTCACCAGGCAACAATCCATCTTGGCCCTCATAACTGATGTTTGGAGAGAACGTCCTTCCAGTACTTTCAAGTTTGGAAATTTAGAGTTCTAAAAGACATACAATTTGTTTCCACCGTCTTCATTGAGTCTAATGGCGGTCAACTTTACACAGCATTTCTGCCCCTTTCCTTTGCTCCTTAATCCGGATGTTTTCTTTTCTTTATCTCAGATACAAAAAAAGTGTGTAACAAGAGCAGTGATGATGGCATGTGCTACAAAGGGAGGGGACGGTGAGCGTGGCCATACATCCGTCTGAGATATGCTGACTCACTCAGCTAGGACACGCAGAGCAGTGGTCTTCAAACTCAGGTGAACACAGATGTTTCCAGGGAGGTTGGTCTAACCTGCAGGCTCCCTTCCTCCCTGCCCCCATGCTATCCAAGGAACATCTAATGAAGGAAACCTTAGTATACCTCAGAACACGCCTTCCAAGCAAGACCTCTATGGGATATTGATCCAAGAAGTCTGTGGATCACACTTCAAAATATCCTGCCTCGATTTGTCTGTGGGTCCCAGGGAAAGGAAAAAATTAAAAAGTAGCCTCTGGAGAAAATCTCTGTGGGAATTGAGCAATGCATCATTGTAAGCTCTGTGGGAATTGTGGCAGGAAAGGGGTGGTGTGTTTGGGGAAGGGAAGTGCTTTATTTCAGTGGGGCACCCTAGGAGGCCTGATTGGGGGTGAATCCACCACTACCAAGTGGCAGCAGTAGTGAAGGCCAGAGGCAAGATGCGAGAGGACGGTGGCCACATTGCTGGAAAAGAAGAAAAGCAAGCAAGTGTCCGTCATGTGGTGGGGTAGGGCTTGTTTCACACGGGTTTAAGCCATGTGACCCCAGAAGAATCAGAAAGAGCAAGTGAGAGGAGGGGGCTAGAGGAGTTTCCATGAGTCTTAACCATGGCTTGCTTCAGTGTTGGGCAATGCTGAACCGAAATCCTGAGTGTGAGGAATGACATTACAGTTTCTAATGTGAGCACTAGCTAGGAACTGAACCCTTCCCTTGGTGTTGCCCTGTGATCCTGGCTTATTCCCTACACCCTAGTCCTCTTATTCTTCCCAGCTCCCGTCATTTCTCACGTTCTTCACTCCGGAGCGTCCCCTCAGTTCCCCCCATCTAATCCCACCCCATAGATGTTAGCTGGATCTTGAAATCACTACCACTGTCTCTGGGTTATTTGTGGCAGCCTTCTTAAAAATACTCAGAAGGGGCCGGAAGCGTGAAATTCTGATGCCGAGATAGAAAAGAACACGTTGCTGGTGGTCACACCACCTCTCCCTTAGCTTGTGAAGGATCTGTGCGAGCCCTAAGGACGAGCGAAGCTGAAAGTTCTACTCGCCGACTGCATCAGTGCATGAGCAGAGCACCTTTCTTTGAGTTGAATCCACACGACATCTGTAGGTCCCTTGCTCTATAGCCCCATCAACAAACATAAATTCCTACCAGGTAGGTTGCCAGGCACAAACTGGTGCGGCCGTGTGCGTCCTGGGTATTAATGTTGGCGCCCATCTTCAACAGCAGTTTCACCGTGTCTACTTGACGTCCGGAAACCGCATGCATCAAGGGCGTGCATCCTGGAACGAGGCATTTCAACAGCCTTTACAAACGTTTAACTTTTGAGGTTTAGAGCAGACCATTTGCCTAGCCATCTACTTTGCTTTCCTGCAACACAAATCCAGCTGCTGGATGCTGTGGGTCTGAGATGGAGATGATGGTAGCATCTGCTTGCAGAAGTGATGGGTTTGCTTCTAACCTCCCTCCCCTTAGTTGTCTATAATTCTCCCTCTCCTCCTGCTCCATTGTCTGAAATAGTCGGTGGATCAAAACAGTTTGGGCAGATGATCAGAACTGGCTGTTGTGGCCTCAGGAATGTGAATAACTCCGGATATACCGGGTAAGTTTATTCCCCCCTAAGCTGAGGTAGTGAAGAATCTGGAAGAGTGGCTTTTGGTCCACCCAGGCAAACAGCTTCAGCACACATTGACAGGCTGTGGGTGGGAAAGCTGGGTGGTAGCCTTGGGCTTCACAAATTCTCAGTAGGAATCCACCTCACTGAATTCTTCTCTTTCTGAGTCAATACAGCCAAAAGCATTTTGTTTTTTAGTGTATTTTCTTTCTGAATAAAAATAGAGATGAATGAATCCATTTTATTTAACTTTGTGGGGCTGGAACAAGCAAGGAATGTCACATTCCTTCAGTCCAAGGGGCCAAGCGTAGAGCCAACTCATTGACGAACTGACATGTGCTTAGATTCTATTGAGATGGTGGTTCTCTTCCGGATAAACCCAGCAGCTGTGGTCCCCAGAGAGGGCTGCAGTTCTCACTGAACACGGCAGCTGGCGATCCAGCAACCCTCTTTTCTGAGATCCTTTTCAGACATTCATTCTGGGTAATAAAGCGATTCTTAGAACAGTAAGAGGTGAGATTTTTCTCTCTTCTTCCTTTCCCCTTCTTTCTCCTTTCCTGCTTATCCCTCATTTCTTTCTTTCCCCATCTCTTCCTTCCTCCCTTCCCACTTCCTTTCTCCTTTCTTCTTCCCTTACTTCCTCCCTACTTCCCTTTCCTATCAAGCAGTCACAAGCTGCTGTGGTCACACACACACACACACACACACACACACACACACACACACACACACTTGGGAGGCAGAGGCAGGCAGATCTCTGAGTTCAAGGCCAGCCTGGTCTACAGATCAAGTTACAGGACAGCCAGGACTACACAGAAAAACCTTGTATGGAAAAGCCAGAAATAAATAAAAATTATTAAAAAATGAAAGTGGTAGTTATGAGCATTAGAGGGGAAAGAAAAGCTACAATGAATAAAAAAATGAAACCATTTGTGAATTTGAGATATTCAGTAAATAAAGCAAATTAATTTTTGCATATTATTTTCATAAACTTAGATGCTCTGTCTGACTAGTTTATATTGATCTTGAGATTGTACTTTCTACATAAATTTCTTCAGAGAACAAAGAACAGAAAATTGTATTATTAACAGACATGATTTATTATAAAGTTTTGATAACTAAAACAAGAAATAGCTCAACAGTGTAGAAAGGAGAGTTCAGGAAACACTCAGACTTGCACGGGGCTCACTGTATAATTGAAGCGACAGTGTACACCGGTGGAGAGGGCAAAGGTATTTAATAAATATGTACTGACAAATTGGCTGCATACAGATGCCAAATTCAAATGCAACCAGACTCCCCACCATTCACAAATACAAACCAGATGGATTAGAGAGGAAATGTAAGAAGCAAAATCTAACACTCTGGAAAGAAAATACATACTCATGGTCTTATAATCTTAGGGACTTAAGGAAGAAGGAAAAACACAAAAAACTGTGAAAATATACCTTGTTAAATTCAACTACATATGAATTTAATTTTCCATAGTATATATTATCAGTCAAAATTCAAAGACTAGCTACACACTGGCAGACTATTTTTGTTTTTAATTTTTTAGCTAATTTACTACCTTTTTTTGTTTTTGTTTTTCAAGACAGGGTTTCTCTGTGGCTTTGGAGACTGTCCTGGAACTCACTCTTGTAGACCAGGCTGGCCTTGAACTCACAGAGATCTGCCTGCCTCTGCCTCCCGTGTCCTGGGATTAAAGGTAAAGGCTAAAGGCTTGCACCACCACCACTGCCCAGCTATCTTTTTTTAAGACTTGGTTTTAAACACATAACCTAGGTTGGCCTTGAACTAGTGATCTGTCTGCTTCAACTTTCTGAGTGCGGGAATCACACGTCTGTTCTGCCATACCTAGTAGGAAAAGTTACTCTAATTTGTAAAATTTAAAGATTATTAGGTAAACTAAATAAAGAGCAATTCAATCAGAGAGACATAATGATCTAAGAGGGGAAGGAGATATATGTATACAAGAGAGCAAATACAAACTAAGCAAACACATGAAAGATTAATTCGCAGTTCGTCAGGGGATACACATTGAGGTGACACTGGAAACTACTTGCTATGTATTGTTATGATACTGCATGATAATTATTAAAAAAAAGAAATGTCCTGTGTGGCCAAGGATTTGGAAACCAATGACTGTATCATCATTTTTGTTCCCATTATCTTTGTCTTCATCCTTGTCCTCATCATCATTGGTGCAGGGTCTCACTGCACAGCTCGGGAAGCCCAGGCTAGCCTTCCGTCTTGCTGTTCACTTACGCCATTCCCAAGTAGTTCAGTTTTCATTACTCATCTTTGTTCTTTGGTATGAATGTTTCTTTATGAAATATACCCAGAAGTAGAATTACTTGGTCACAGGTACAAACATTTTGATTTTTGCTAAATATTTCCAATTTTATCACCAAAATGGCTGCCCATGTTTATACTTTAACAAATAGTGTAAGATTCCCCTACCCTACCCACCTCCTGCCAGCTCTAAGGGGAGGGAGCTTTATGGCCTCTGCCTTACTTAGGACTGAGCACTGATCTGGGGACTAGAACGCTTGAGTTCCAGCTCTAATTCTTTTATTAGCTATGGGTTTTGACCAAAAAACTTGACCACTTTAAAACTCCTTCTCTTGCCCTGGGCAATTGCAAGTGGCTCCAGCAGGATCATGAAACCCCTGAGGCAACTCGTAGTTAATAAGCGGTTGAGCACTTGTAGTGGGCCAAGCAAAACGCTGCACTTTCTACTTCTCATTAAAAACAAAAAAGTCTAAGAGACCAAACTTTTTCTGCTCTCATTGCTATCCCCATGTTTCAAACAAGGAAACTGGTCATGGGAGCTAAGTAATCTGTTAGGTTTTTTGTTTTGTTTTGTTATGTTTTGTTTTCCTGCTGGCAAATAGGAAGAATTGTCATTTTTTGCTTGTTTGTTTATTTTGGTCTAGATTTTTTTTTTTGGCTTTATTTTTGAGAAGGAGTTTCTCTATGGAGCTCTGGCTGTCCTGGAACTCTCTATGTAGACCAAGTTGGCCTCAGACTCACAGAGATCCACCTACCTCTGCCTTCCAGTTCTGGGATTCAAGGCCTGTGCTCTAGCTAGCAGCAGGACTCTCAATACCCACAGAGCATCCATCTGAAAGCAGTCTGGCTGGCTGAACTGCATGATTTACAAATATTCTGTTCCACTTTGCAGCTAGACTTTTAATCCCCTTATCGAGAAACAAAAGTTTTTAGTTTTTGATGGATTTAGATTTGTAAAGGTCTAGATAGATCTTGATGAACATGCTTTTGGTGTTAGTCTAAGATCTACTTGTCTAGTGCTAGATCTTAAATGATTTTTTTTCTCTTTCTTTTTAAACCATTGCTAATTTTTCTAGAAGTTTCCTGGCTTTATACCTTACTTAAGTTCATCATCCATATTAGCTTAATTTTTGTAAAACATGTGAGATTTGGATTACGTCTGCTTTCTTTTTCCCCTTTTTCCCCATTATCTCTCCTCCTCTTCCTTTTCTCTCTCCTCCTCTTCCTTCTTTTTTTGCTTGTGTGTATTGATTGGCACTTGAGGCCATTTGTTGATGAAGTCATATTTCTTCCACTGAACTGTTCCAACAGTTGGGTATGACTATTCCTCAGTTAAGACTATCTTCTTTTTGTTTTGTTTGGTTTTAGCAACTGTGTAATAGTACATCTTACAACATTAGATTCCTTTCACTTATTTTTTTTTAACCATCCTAGGTGTTGAGTGATACTGTTCCTCGGAAGATATGAACGACTGTATCCAAGATAGAAAACCAACAACAGTCATCCAGCAACTGATGGAAACTGAGGCACTGGAGCACTGGACTGAGCTCCCAAAGCCCAGCTGAAGAGTGGGAGGAATGAAAATATGAGCAAAGAGGTCAAGACCATGATGGTTTCACCCACTGAAACAGTCTACCTGAGCTAATGGGAGCTCACCAACTCCAGTCAGACTAGGAAGGAACAAGCATAGAACCAAACTAGTTCCTCTGAGTGTGGTTGACAGTTGCATGGCTGGAGGGGCCACTGACAGTGGCATCAGGATTTATCTCTACTACATGTACTGGGTTTTGGCGATCCTATTCTCTTTGAATGGATACCTTGCTCAGCTTAGATGTAGTAGGGAGGACTTTGGACCTTCCACAAGCAATGTGCCTTACTCTCTTTGAGGATTCGATGGGGGTGGGGTGGGAGAGTGTGTGGAGCGGATGGGAGAGGGGAGGGAGTAGGAACTTGGATTGATATTTTTAAAAAATCTAATAAATTATATATAAAAAGGAAACCCAACAGACCAAAGTAAAGATACTTTGTCAAACTTATTGAAACCAATGAGCTTAGTTAGGTTACTTACAGGAGTATGGCTGAGGGGTTACTTAGAGGAGCAGAGATGTCTCAAAAACAGCTGCATCGCCAAGGCCCACCCCAGCACAAATGACAGTTCACAGCAGTTGGAAACCGGAGTGTACCGCACAGTTTGAAGGCAGCTTGACAGATTGGAGCATCTCTTCCAGGCAGCATGGCTGGCCTCTTTCTCTTTTAGGTGGCTTGGCTGGTCTGAGAGTGTGTTTTATCAGTTCTTACTGCTTACATGTGCCTGATGAGGGAGGGGCCTAGTGTATCTGGTCAGTTTCAAGGACTTCTTGTAGCTTTTGAGATGTTTATTTCCTTACTTTAAGCGGAGCCTCTCCACTCTGGAGTGTTTCATCTCCTCTTATACATCTTGAAACTTAAGGAACTTCCCTCCAAGATAGAAAGCTTTACCTGAGAGGAAATTTCTACAAACACTAGGGTTTTTTTTCCTATTCAAAAATAAATTTCAGATAAATTTGTCTATGTGTATTTGCTTGTGAGTGTGCCTGTGTGAACATACACACACACACACACATCAAATTTTGATAGACTCGTTATCTGCTTACTTTTAGAAACTGAGTTAATCCTGAATATCCTATATATGCATTCATGTGTTTATTACACTGTTTCCCATGAGTGTGACACATACATCCCTTTATTTAGATTTTCTTATGTTTATCTCATAGGTATTTTAAGTGTTCTTCATACAATATATATACAAGCACTTATGGATTCCTTTCAAGGGTATTGTATTTTAAATCTTGTTTCCTACATATTAGTTGCTAGCACAGCACATAGATTGATGCACTCACCTTAGGCCTGTGACCTCTGAACTCACACCTTAGGATTGTCTATGGTGATAAGTTGTATAAAAAGCAGACAGTTTTACTGTTCTCTTGTTTATGTGAATTTTGTATTTTCTTCCCTTGCCTTCTGCCCCTGGCCTAGAGATGAATTTATATTGCACTGAATATGTGTGCTGAGAGTGGACATTTCCTCCTGTGTTCCTGACCTCAGAGTCAAACATTCATTCAATAACAATTAAGTAATACTGTCCCTCTCTATAGACCAGTGGTTTTCAACCTGTGGGTTGTGACGCCTTTGGGGGTTGGATGACCCTTTCACAAGGGTTGCCTAAGACCATCAGAAAACACAGATATTTACGTTATGATTCATAATAGTAGCAAAATCACAGTTATGAAGTAGCAATGAAAGTAATTTTATGGTTGGGGGTCACCATAACCTGAGTAACTGTTAAAGAGCCGCAGCATTAGGAAGGCTGAGAGCCACTGTTGTAGGCTGTTTGAAGTAATCTTAGAAAAGAAAATTAGAGAGGAGATTTTGCTAATTTGCCTGGCATAGTCTTATACTCATGACTCTTGTGATTTAGCCCCCTAAGACATTAGAATTGCAGGCTCACACCACCATTTCTGGCTTTGTTCTCTGTCACATAGAGAAAGTTCCTTTCCATTTCTATTTTCTGATATTCAAAATTATGGAAGTATATTGAATTCCACCAAATGCTTCTTTGCCAAGTAATATGATTTATTTTTCTTCTTTAACCAGCTAGTTTGGGAGATTTTATTGGTTTGCAAGTATTGACCTAGACTTATATTTCTAGAAGAAACCCAACTTGATCATGAAATATAATTCATATATATATATATATATGAATTCATATAGTCATTTTTGGATCTATATTCACAAGGATAATTGATAAATATGGGGATTTAAAATATTTTATTTATCTGGTATTGATGGTTAATGTAATTCTAGTTCATAGGTCCAACTCGGTAATATTTCCTTCTTTTCTCTTTTTGAAAGAAATTATATAAAAATGGTGCTGATTATTCTTTAGACATTTATAGAGGGGCTTGAGAGATAGCTCATAGTGATTAAGTGATATGAGTGATAGCTCATAAGTGATTAAGGACACTTGTTGATCTTCCAGAGGACCTGAGTTTCACTCCCAGGACTCACACGGTGGCTCACAACCATGTGTAACTCCAGTTCCAGAAGATCTGATACCCTCTTCTAACCTGGGGCACATTCAGGAAAAACACTCCTACACAGAGAGTAAATCTAAATACCAGATAAATAAATGAATTCTGGAAATCAGTAAGCCCCTCTAGGGCTGAACATACTTCTCTTTATGAATTTTTAATTATGACTCTAATTTCCTAAATAGCTATAGGAATATTCAAATTCTCTCTCTCCTACTAGAGGGATTTATGGTCATTTACATTAAAATTGTTTATTAACAGTTATTAATTGTGCATATTCCTGGTGCTCACTGTGGTATATTCATGTCTTTGGTTGATTCCCAAAAGGACCAGCTATCGAAGTATTCTCTCTTTGTGGACCCATGCATTAGTATATCGAGTTTCTTCTTAGCAATGCTTCCATACTGTCAATCTTGGTGTTCGACCTAGCGAACACAGGTTTTCAGGGGCTTTTCTTTTGTTCAAGTCTGTTGGCATCCTGTGTTACTAACTCCTTCAGTCCCAACTCTGGGATACACAAGGCAAGACGAAGATTCAGACAACTCACCACCAAGCCAGTTCTCTGATCCCAGGACTTAACCAATCTGTCGTTTTCTCTTTGTTTTCCAGAGTTATTTTTTTAAATCATATCCAATGTTCTCCATTGTATTTAGAAAGAATGGGGGGGGGAATACAACCATTCTGTCAACCAAGAGCCAAATTCTCTGCTCTCTGAAGGACTATGGCATTTACATTTCCCCCGACATCCATTGCTGCTGATGTAACCATCTCTTCCTAGACACTTGTAACTCCTGGTGGCCAGAACACTCAGTTCCCAAAGTGCTTGCTGTGCAGTCATGAGGATCTGAGTAGGCTACCCAGAACACACTTAAGGAAGCCAGGCATAATGTTTTGTGCTTGTAATCTTTGCCCTGGGAAGACGGAAACGGTCAGATACTTAGGCTCACTGGCCAGTCAGTTTAGCCTATTGGATAAGTTCCAAATTCCTTTGAGAACCCTGTTTCAAAAATAAAATGGATGGTACCTTATGAATGATACTTGAGATTGACTTTTGGTTTTCCATAAGCACATATGCACAGAGACAACTTCTTGGCCATTCCTACAAAAATACTGGCAACAAACCACCCACAATAAGAAATGAAGTAAGATGCTGAAGGTTGGTTGGTGTCCAGCACCTTCATGCAGAGAAATGCGAAGGGATGCTACACAGGGCCACAGGGAAGATACCTCCAGTATTACAGGGCCAGTCAAAAATGTTTGAGATGTTGCTCATCTCAAAAGACCACCTCTGAGAAGACAAAGCATTACAGCGTGGATTTAAAAAAAAAGTGCACAAACAGCTCACCTTCGCTGTCACAGCATTCCAGGATGGAAGGGTCCTCTCGGATCACGGCAGTCAGAGCATTGACATCTCCATTAGACGCTGCCTGATACACCATGGTCAGGTCGACTTCCTCGGCTGAGTCACCTCCATGAACCAAACAGACACTCTGTTAGTATACGGAGTGAATCCACTCACTCACAGAATAACCCAGCCTAAATTGTCACCCACACAAGTGATTCACTAAGCCTCCCACCCCAGGGAATCCAGGCGGAGGCTGAGTCAGCCTGCTCACATACTCCCTGGGCACTTCTGAGGAAAAGCAGGCTGCCGTGGGCCATTGGTGACAACACCATGGGCTGGGAAGGAGCCTTGGGATTAGATGCCCTTTGACCTGTTATGACTCTTTAGGCAACCGGGTTTCCCAAAATCAGAGAAAGCCGAGCGGGATGAAGGGCCTCCTCTTGCTTTCAATCTACTCTTCAAGAGCTGAAACAAGCTACATGGTTTTCTCAGGGTGGCCTTGAACTCACAGAGACTGTCTGCCTTTGCCTCCCGAGTGCTGGGATTAAAGGTGTGTGCCACCACTGCCTGACCTTTATGGCTAACTAGTGACTTAGCTCTGAACTCTGATCTTCAGGCAAGCATTATTTGTTAGATAACAAACAAAATATCACCACAGGGTTTCTCTGTGTAACAACCCTGACTGTCTTGGAATTCACGCTGTAGAGTCAGGCTTGGCTAGAACTCAGAGATCCACTGGCCTCTACACCAAGTGCTGGGATTAAAGGCACGCGCTACCACCCTCCGGTTAAGTCTTTCATTTGCAACCACCTGCGTGCGTAGCTGCTATTTCTGGGAGAACTAAGGTTGTAGGAAGCTGCTTTGAAAGAGGTAGCCACCTGTGCAGCTCTGCAACTTTGTGAGGAATTGATCCAACAGATTTTACTGCTAAGGGCAATAACAGACTGGGAGTCAGGTGACTCTGGGATGCACAGAGAAGGCTAGGAAGCAAGTTTGCATGTGGAGACCCCTGGAGGGAGGCTGTACCAAGCCTCAGTAGTTCTCAGGGGTATTTTCTCCAAGTGTAACTGACGTTCAGAGAAAGAATATCTCCACAATTTTAAAGTAGTGTTTTCTCCTAACATGGACACGGGGCTCAAGTTGGTTTTTCAGTTCTTTGAACTTCAGCTGGCACAAGTACTGAAGTTTTGGTTTGGTTCCTCTGTCCCAGTATTTCTGAGAAACATTAATGATTTTTAACTGGTTAGCCAGTTCCAGGGCAAGCTTGTTGCCTAGAACGGCTTGCCTCTGACAACACTGTTTTGTAAAGTGAGTGCCGGCCTCCTACCTTGTCCATGTTTGGTTTTGTGTTTTCGATTTTGAAGAAGGCGCCTGTGTTCATTTGCATGCCAGGTGAAGGGTACCCGGGACAAATACCACTCAAGTGTGGTCTGTTTGATGACTTTGGTACAAGCCACGCTTGTGCGAACCAGTTGTGTTGCAGTGTGGGCTAGTCACCCTCAACCAGCTTCGTTTCCTTATCTATAAAGTGGAAGTGATCTTGATGACATTGACAACCCCTCCTTTAGAGAGTTGTCAGGGTGGCACTGTGTTCAAATAAATTCTGTGTGTCTAGGAACAGCCTGACTTTTCTAATTTTTGCTCCATATAAACATTTTGGCTTATTTAGACAGCATTAGATGTCTGAGACATAGATTTAAAATGAGCTCTTGTTGATAATGGCTATTAAGGAAGTCATGTATCACTTGGAACTCATTACAAATCTTCACATAAGTCTGGACTTTTGTGCTGAGATCACAGGTGAAAGCTGTCACACCAGACTCAACTGTGGGCTTTTATAGACTGTATGTTATATAATAACATGTTCACATACTGTTCACGACTGAGTGGATAAGGTACAGATAGGGCCTTTATCACAACGTGGAACTACACTGCTTCCTAGAATTAGGATCCCCAAAATATTTCATCAGGAGGATTTGGATATCACATTTAATGAACAACATATCTGATTCTGTAAAATACCTACTAGGACTCATGGAAAGGTGACTGACTGACTCTGTACTTTTTCTTGTTCAATGCCCCCTGACCCTGATGCTAGTTTTAATCTAAGTACTCTTGGGTGATCACCAGGGCTCTGTCTTCAGCCGAATAGCTGTTTCAGTGATCTGGAGGCGGAACTCGTGACCTGGAACGAAGCTATTAAGAATTTGCATCATTGTGGCCAAGGTGACGTATTCAGAGCTGTGACCCGGTTAGAGTTTGTGAAAAGCAAACAGACTCTGGCCTGGATGGTTGAGCACGTTGCTCCCTCTATTTCACCACCCAAGAATGCGGTGAGCTTCTGGATGGCAAACCTGTCTAAGCAGACTGAAGACGGAACAGGACCAAGAAGGAACGAGTGGAGACCTGTTGACGTCACCTAAACACCTGCATCACCACCCCTTAGGCCAACAGTGTCACCAGAACATGTACATCTGCCGATACATTCTTTCTATTTGTTTGTTATTTTGGCTTATTTTGTACCATCTTGTGGGCAAGCTTTAGCTTTCTTTTCCGACTGTGAGAGAGTTCCAAGCAAGGACAATCTTAGCAGAGGTCCACTAGCAAAGGGATCAGATAGATATTCCCTCCACAGGAATTAATGTTGAGTGCACTAGGAGGAACTCTAGCTGATCATTGATTATGACCATACTGAAGGAGGTGACAGGGTCCTTCCATTCTTCGCAGATCAGTGTCATACTGAGATCTCTAGCCTGTGGGTTAAAGTGACGAGAGGAGGCTGGGAATAGTTAGAGGAGCAGTGAATTTCGTTTGTGTCTCATGAATGGCTCAAGAAAATAGACGAATTGCTCTGCAGACAATTCCATGAGGTCAGAACTGTGGTCTAGATAGTTTGCCTATACAATTCACCATTTGAACCACTTCTAACCGTACAGTTCTGTGGCCTTGAGGCATTCGAAGTATTGCACACCCACTACTACCACCCTCTCCAAGCCCTTTTCGTTTTCCAAAACTCTGTACCCATTAAAGAGTAACCCCATGGTTCCTGCCCAGCCCCCAGAAAGCAATACCCCACTTTCTGTGTCTGTGAATGTAACTCTAGGTTTTTGTATTTTTATGGGAATCAACAGTATTTGCCTCTTTGTGACTAAATCATTTCACTTAGCAGAATGTCTGCGAGACCCATTCATGAAGGAGTATGGATCCCATTTTCCTTCCTTTTGAATGGTGAGCGATATTTTTTCCTATACATGAACAAACATACTGTATTTCTCTATTGATCTCTTGCTGGACACTTGGTTTTCCTTTGTCTTTCTCTTGGCTCCTGTGAGTAATGCTACAGAGAACAGCGCGCACAAACTGCTTTGACATTCTGCTTTCGGTTCCAAAGCGGAGCTCCTGGATCATGTGGTTATACTTTTCCTTCTGTTCAGCTTTTAACAACCCACCGTACTGTTTGTTGATTAGTTTTGTGTTAACTTGACCCAAGCTAGAGTCATTTGGGAAGAGCGACTTTCAACTGAGAAAATGCCTCTGTACAATTGACTTGTAGACAAGTCTATAGGGGATTTTCTTGATTTAAGATCGATGTGGGAGGGCCCAGGCCACTATGGGTGTTGTCATCCCTGTGCAGGTGGCCTTGGATTGTATAAGAAAGCAGGCTGAGAAAGCCATGGGGACCAAGCAGTAAGCCGTGTTCCTCTAAGGTCTCCTTTTTAGCTCTTGTCTTCCAGTTCCTGCCCTGATTTCTCTCAGTGAAAGGTTGTGACCTGAAAGTCGCAGGATGAAATCAATGCTTTCTTCTAGTTGCTTTTGGCCATGGTATTCGATCCCAGCAATAGAACCCCCCTACTAAGGCACTGTTTTTTAAGGCAGTTTCATCATTTTCTATCTCCATATCTGCCCACGGGTTCTAATTCCCCACATCTCATTGCTTTTATGTGTTATGTGTGAAAGTGCATTATTTTTATAACAGTCATCCTTTGGAGTATGAAGTGGTATTTAGTTGTGGTTTTGAATTACATTTCCCTAATGACTGACAGTGTTGAACATCTTTTACAGGCGTCACTGACTGTTCCTCTGTTTTTGGAGGCGTTTTGGAGGAATATTTATTAATATCCTTTATTCACTTTGGTGTTTTGTGGAGCTGGCTTTTTTGTGGAGCTATATGAAGAACCCTATTATTGATATTAACTTCCATATGAGATGCTTGATGCATAAACATCTTGTATTCTATAGCTTTCCTGTTTGCACTGTTAATAGTATCTTATAATTCAATTTGTCTGTGTTTCCCTTTTTGTTGCCTGTACATTTGACATCATGTCCCAAAAAGCAACGCCAAATCCATTGCTAGATGCTCTTTCTTTAGGTCTTTTTCTAAGAGTTTTATGAGTCTAGATAGTATGATTGGGTCTTTGATAGACTGTAAAGTAAGAATCTAAGATCTTTCTTTCCTGTACTATCTAGTTTCTCAAGCACTATATTTTGAAGAACATGACTGAGTGATCTTAGCACCTTTGTTAAAAATTAGCTAACTGGGGGATACAAGGAACATACCTAAACATAATAAAGGCGATGTACATCAAGCCAACAGCCAACATCAAACTAAATGGAGAGAAACTCCCAGCGATCCCACTAAAATCAGGAACAAGACAAGGTTGTCCACTCTTTCCATATCTATTTAATATAGTTCTTAAGGTCCTAGCTAGAGCAACAAGACAACAAAAGGAGATCAAGGGGATACAAATCAGAAAAGAAGAAATCAAACTCTCACTATTTGGTGATGATATGATAGTTTACATAAGTGACCACAAAAATTCTACCAAGGAACTTCTACAACTCATAAGCACTTTCAGTAATGTAGCAGGATACAAGATTAACTCAAAAAATCAGTAGCTCTCCTCTACACTGATGATAAATGGGCTGGGAAAGAAATCAGAGAAACATCACCCTTCACAATAACCCCAAAAAACATAAAATATCTTGGAGTAACTCTAACCAAACAAGTAGAAGACTTGTATGAAAAAAACTCTAAATCTTTGAAGAAAGAAATTGAAGAAGACAGTAGAAAGTGGAAAGATATCCTGTGCTTTTGGGTACGTAGAATTACCATGTAAAAATGG